TTTGTAAAAGAAATTTCTACAGCATAAATTTCTTGTCAAACAAACTCTGAATTGCGAAACTTTTACTAATTGTAAGATATCTTCTTATGTCTCTATCGGAAGTATCTGAAGTTGGGAATCTTTTGAATAGTTTCAAAACAAACTTCCAATGAATTAATAAAGACTAGTCAATATTACACGACATTATGCAATGAGTGTTTGAGTGTACTGAGGTGTGATTATTTGATTTGATGTTGTTAGCTTAATGCAGATCGACATTTCGTATATTTGGGATCATCAAATTCGCAGATGCGCGATCATGGATGTTACTTTTTTGATGCTGGTGAAAATGGAGGACAAGTGGACACGATTCGTGCTCAACTAGGTGTTTTTGATCGTTCGAATATACCGAAACTGATGGCACGAATAGGACAATGCTTCACTCAAGCAAAGGTGTGTGGTGACTATGTTATGAATCGCATGGACTGGGTATTGCTTCACCACAATCTGCACTGAGTTATTGCTCTATCATTGACGAATAAACTAGCACAGTGTTGTGCAACCATGCTATGGATTAGAATAAATTAGCACAACCTTAAAATAGTCTGGCACACCTTAGCACCTGAATGTAACTTCAACTAATCCCTAGATGAATGATATTCTTTAATTTATAAATGAAATAGATGAAATCAATTGCCTGCATCGAATCAACGAGAACATCACGATGATGGGTTTTTTCCATATGGGATACAAAAACGTTCTTCAGCATTCATTTCACATAAATTGACTCATGCATGAGCAACGTGTTCACAATTGGTCAGCATTTACAATTAAAAAATACAGATTTTTGGAATATGCTGTCCATGCGGGGAAAGTGCTTTTGAAGGGCCGAATTCAAATTGCAATATATTCCGTAATTGTGATGAATGAGATTTAGCCTTAAACTTATGCTGAGACTAATGCCGGCGAGCCATCTGTTTTTTAGTGCACATCTCATCTTCGACATAACATAGAGTCATCTGTTTGTTTGATAGATATCTCATCCGTGCTGTGAGCCTCAGCTTATGCCTAAGACTAAATGGAATTACAGTTGCCCAATCCAGCAGTTGAAAACTAAGAGAATTGTGTAAAATTAGGCTGGAAGAGTGGGGGCTGAATTTTCGAGGCCTCCATATGTTCATTATCGATCTGTTCATTCATCAGGGCAATTCAGCTGGTAGCATTCACGAATGTCACTCATTAAGAGAGCTCCTCACAGACATGCTACTCATGCTCATTGCTCATCATTTTGCTCTCCGATTGCCCACGTTGTGAGCGCATTTGCAACTGCTCACTGCTTGCTGAAGAGCTGGGTAGAAATTTTTGAACAGCTTAAATATGATCGCTAGTTTGAACAGCTCAAATGGATGATATAAATTCTTGAGAAAAATATATAAGAGAAAAAAATTGAAGGAATCTCAAGTGAAATTGCTCGATAAACATCACAATCAAACGTTCGATGTAATCGGTGGTCGAAATACGAGCGGTGAGCCGTATACATTTTCCGACGGTTGTGGACGGATATCGAAGGAGTATGCAAAAGACATTGCGAAAGATTTGGGCCTTGAGAAGTGTGTACCGAGTTGTTTGCAGGTACGCTGACTGCAAGACAAGAAACCATGATTTTTTCGTAGTGTTATTTTTTGCGTTTCTTCTTTCACTTGTTTTTTGTTTTGTTTCCGAAGAAGTTTCCGAGCAAACTTTTCCTGAATAATGTAGTATATGGTTTAGTTTTTGATAATAGTTGATAGTATTATATTGATATGCAAATCTGACGGCGCAGAGCTTGAATGGATCGATTGCATGAAATGGTTTGAAACGTTTCGATATTGAGGGATATTCTGGAGTCTAGTTTAACGCAACTTGAAAGAATCGATATTATGATGCTTTTTTGAAGATGCATGTACATCACAGATATGTATGTCGTCAAAACTTTGTATAAAGAGATCGGATCCACAAAGTTCTCGGAGATCAAATTGAGGAAACGACCAACTGTCCATTTTTTCGATTCCTTTGGAAGATGATGGGAATACTTACTTGCAGATTCGGTTCCGCGGCATCAAGGGTGTTGTATCAGTGGATCCTTGGCTATCCGATCGATTGAAATGGTCACACAAGTATCTGAATCCGGATAGTGAGGCGGAAATTAACGGGAAGAATGAATTGCGTATTCAGTTCAGACCATCACAGGTTGTGTTTTGTGCTCGGTTTTCTTCTTTCAGTTCGTTTGAGCTGTATCTTTTTTCGATCGAATTTTTGATTTACTCTTCAATAATTTATTCATTCACTCAGCACATTACTGTTTATTTTGCGTATAAACGTTGCTTCAAGATCGCTGCAATTATCGTTGCTCTCATAATGATAAATCGCTTCCCTCGTTCAGACATATGATCTTGCATATGGCATCGTTGTTTTTATCTGCAGTTGCGAGCGATTCAACTTCAAACTTTGTGAATTTGATGATTGAATGAATTCGATTCGTTCATCAGGGATATTATTAATCAGAAGCAATTGCGCATTCCATTTTAAAAATGAAAATTCTTTCTCTCCTGGAAAACTCTAATAAAGTTTCTTCGCTCTCCTTCGAAAGAATTTCATCGAGTTTCAGTTTAGAAGAAATTTGATGGATCAGAAGAGGAAAAAATTGAAATAGTTAAATGTTCAAGTCCAACTGCAGTTTGCTTGAATCGACCATTGATCGCCATTCTTGATCAGGTTTGATTTCTTCCTTCTTTTTAAGGATGNTTGTTGGACAAGGAATTAATGGAAATGGCTAAGGCACTTATGTGTGAGGATAGGTTCGTGAATGTTGTTCTTATAAAACTGTCATTATTCATTGTTAAAGTTTTCGTTATGATTGCTTGTGCTATCGCTGTCCTTATCACTATCATTGTGGTCATCAATTGAATCGAAAAATTTTTGCAGTTGTCGAGATAGATTAGGTGAACTTCCGCGGCGTATGAACATTGAAGAGTTATCACTAGCTGATGGATTCGCTCTCACTCAAGAACCATTCTTTAGAAGTTTGTTACGAGCAAGCGTTGCCTATACGATAAGTATGTGGTGATATTCGATAGTGAAGCTACTCATTTGGTTGTTTGAGCTTCAGTTTTTGACTTGCTCAATGTCGATTGCGTTCATAGAAAATTTTAATTGATGAACTTTGAATTGTTTAGTCGAATCTTCATTCGAATACTTATGAAACTAGTAAAATCTGAGCTCTGAATAAACGAACTCTGAGCTGAGTGACTGTTATGAGTTGGTGATTTTTAAGCTTTTTATGATTGTTGAAGAGCGATGGATTCATTGGAAGAAAATTGAATTGTTTCTTTGATTTATTGATTGTATTTGTGAAATTAAGAGAAGCAACTATCAAAAGCGCAAATTAAAATCCCACAATATTTGGGTCGAACGATGTTCGGCGTTATCGATGAGACAGGCATATTGCAATACGGACAGGTCTTTGTGCAATATTCCAAAACGATCACTAATAAGAAACCAAGTCCAAATGCATCCAAAGCGATTCTCAAAGGTCATTCTCGTTTGCGATTTATTCTTAGATTTTTAATTCATCGAATAGATTCGTGAATAATCGTCTTAATGAGATACGTCGACAATATTCTTGTTTATAACTCTTGAATTGTTGATAAAATGATCAGTTCTTCAGGACCGATTTTGTTGACAAAAAATCCACAAATAGTGGCCGGTGACGCGCGAGTATTCGATGCCGTGGATGTACCCGAATTAAGACATTTAGTTGACGTTGTTGTTTTTCCGCAGTACGGACCAAGAACACACCCTGACGAAATGGCTGGTGAGTCAGATTAGATCAGATCGTTTCGTTCACATAATTAATCATTTTCTGTTTTGCAATTAGTTGCGCTTTCCGTTTTCAGTGCTTTTATTGTTAATATTGCTAGTGCTTGCGACTGTTATCGGTGCTGTTTTCGATTTCATTGTTGTCTGAATTTGAAGAAAAACTTCCATTGTTATTATTGTCATTGAAGGAGTTGTGACAGTGGTGATGATAATAATATAAACATAATGATAATGATAATAGTAGCGATAATATCGGCGACAGCAACAATAGTACTGCTATAGTAATTACCTGGATTGGCCAGGTATCAAACGTTTGTAACGTCGCTGGTCACAATGCGTTTCCATTCGGTCCTTGATCTTGCTTTCGTTTGCTTGGTGTTGCACAGTTTCTTTGTAATATCGTCTTTGCATCTTATTGGACGTCCATCTTATCCAGATGTAGTAATATTAAATAGTAAAAGCTAATAATGATAGCAGTGATGAATGAGAAGCGGTTTGAGGCTCCGATTTGGACGGCGATGAATATTGCGTAATATGGGATCGGGAACTGTTGTTGGAAAATAATGAAGAGCCAATTGACTACACCAGATCAGCGCGTGTGCCTGACAACGTTGCCGAGTCGGAATTGGTTCGTTTTTGACGGACGGCTTTTTCGTTTCGGATTTTTCATCTCAATTCTATTTATGCACCATACTCATAACTGATTCAGAGTTCGATTCTTGTTGAAGGTACCGGAGATGATAAAATTCTTCGTGAATTACATCAAACATGATTCAATTGGTACGATCGCAAATGCGTTTATGGTGAACGCAGACCTTTACGGTATTGACAGTCAGGTTCTCACCTTCTCTCTGTTCTTTTAGCATCCAGATTGTTTCCAGTAAAGTCAATTTCGTTCTTATGAGAAACTTCCATTGAAAGAGTTTTTT